TTTTTTCCTTTCGAAGGCAGAAGAAGAAGGAGAAGGAGGGGGAAAAAAAAAAAAAAAGCAGCATGTTAGGCAGCTAGCTTGGCAGAATAATGCCTTTTCCTCTCCAAAACATGAGGCGGGCTGACGAGCTGCGGCCTCCCCGGAGTGATTTAATTTGGCATGCCTCTCAGCAGCACGTGGGGCTCTGTGACATCCTCTCTGGACTCCAGCAGCCTTCCCGGTGAGATCCGCTCCCTCCACTCAACACACAGGAGTCGAACGGGGGGATCCTGGGAGGTGGCCTGGCCAGCGCCCGCCCGCCAGGGAAAACTTGTTGAACAGCACAGGGAAACGATCACTGGGAAGCGGGAGGGCAGGTGGCAGGTGGACGGTGTGGTCCTCCTGGAGATGCTTTCTTTGCTGTGAGCTCGTGTGGGGGATGTTTATCAGAGAGGGGCAGACGGCAGACAGGCCTGCGATGAGGCGAGCCTCGGTTCCGTCTCCGGCTGCCTTTGACCGCTAGTGATAGGTGCCGCCGGCGTCCGGCCTGAGAAATGGCTGTGCTTCAGGCACCTCCGTTAACGCATCTTATCGATCTGCTGTGCCCCTGCCTCCACCGCCCCCCCATCTCCCGCCCCGGAGAGAGAAAAAAAGCAGTCAAAACGTCAGGGCCACAGTGCAGCCCCAGCAGTGTGGTACGGGGGGGCTGCGGCCGCCCCCGGGGTGACCGCGTACATGACGATCGTCACGCTGCTCCCCTCCACATCACCATCCCGTGCCCCCCGCAGAGACGACGCAGGCCTGCTTGCACGGTGCGCTGTCAGAAAGACGCGTGCCTGTTCTGATGTTTTTCCCTCATGAAATGGTGTGTCTGTGATTCACTTTTCCCCCACTGACACATTGGGCCTTCGTTAAATAGGACCGAGAACAATTAATCTGGGGCAGAACGCCTAGGACCCCATTCATAAATCATCTTTTTCCTTAACTCCCCGGCACTGGTGTGTGAGGGGGGGGTCACAGCCCAGAGCCTGCGGGCCTCACTACCAGAAGACAGCGTGGAAAACCAGCCCTCCGACTTCGCACATGACTTGGAATGGCCATGATCAATACATGGCCGTAAGCACTGAGGGGACGTTTTTATGGCTTGTACATACGCATTTGTAACGTAGGAGAGATGGGATCTGCCACCGGCCCCAACCAGGGCATCGAATGCATCTTCCACATACGGACGCGAAGATGCTCTGTGGCTGTTCGGGCTGCAGAGCAAGGTCTTCTTGGAATAAAGCAGGCTGAGGTCAGAGAGAGAAGGGGCTCGTGCACGTGGGAAGAGGTTTTTCCTGGGGCTGAGAGGGTAGCAGAGTGGTTAAGCACCTGCCCAAACCTGGTGGCGGATTGTGGCTTTATCACTTACTAGCTGTGTGACCTTGGGCAGGTCACTCGGGTTCTCTAAGCATCTGTTTATTAATGATGGCAATCGTACCTGGCCTCATAAGGTTGTCGTAAAGATGACAGGGACCGATGTGTATACAATATATAGCCTGTCACTGGGGTTTTATGACAGCTTACTAAACGTGAGGGAGATGAAGATGCTGTTGATGATGATGGCGTTGACGGCGATGACCCCTTGGTGTCCGGAATGTACCAGATTATGAAGTACAGCCACACGCTTTACTATCTGACTCGTGGCTGTCACGTAGGAAGCAGGTTCAACCACGTGAGCGCGAGCTCGGTGGCAGAGGCCAGGCAGCCTGTGTCCCCGTGATGACTGCTTGAACTCCCGAGCTGGTCTGGGGTCTTGGACCCCTGCCCTTGACCCCTTGTCCCCTCACTGCTCTGTCTTCCTCATGCTGCCCATGGGCTGGGTGTCCCAACAGTGCAAAGTGCTTGTTCACATTAGGGCTGGCAAACCACGGCGAAGAAGGAGAATTTGTTGCCAGAATTGTCACTCGGCGTTCTTGTCTGTTTGCTGTGACTTTTGGACGGTCCGCGCCTTCGTTCCGTAATGATGTCAGTTCGTGGCGAACATGGCAAGCAGGAGACAAGAGGCAGCCAGCGTCTGAGTGCAGGGGGGGAGGTTGCCAAGTCGGCAACTAGGATTCTGTGTACCCTCTTTGCTCAATTAAAACCCTGTGTTTACCTCAGATCATCCCTGTCTGGGGGCCATCTGAGCCCGTCAGAGTCTCCAGGGCAGACGTGTACTGAGCCAGACATTCAGCGCAGCGCTTTACAAGTGCGATTTCAGTCGAGTTTCACGGCAGCCTCACAAAGGGGGCCCTTTTATCTGGCGGCCTTCTTGGCTGCAAGCAACCGAAGCCATCTTGCCGTTCAAGAAGGAGGGAGCTTTTTGGAAGGACACTGGGGCTTCCGATGTAACCGATCACTGTTGGGACTCGGAAGAATCTTCGGTCTCCCGGTAATTGTCAGGAGGCTGGAACCCAGGCTGTGAACAGGGGCAAGGACCCGGTAAACCTGGAGGGCCGGGTGGCAGGAGGGCCGTTCCATGTGTCACCTCTGCTGCTCCAAGCAGGGCGTGTGCCAAGACCCTCCCTGGGTCAGGAACGAAGGATCTTGTCTGTTGAGCACCAGTGATGCCAGGCAGGCTTATCTTTCACGAAGAGTACACACCACTGGGGGATCCCTAGACGGAGTTTTAAATGGGGAGAGCGGGATTCTAGGTGGCCCGGATCGGCAGATGACCACCACAGGAAACTCATGTCCTCGCGGTACGGGGCAATCACCCGAGGCCCAGAAGGGCTGGGTGACTTGCCCAGTTTCTCACAGGCATCAAGTGGCAGAGCTGGATCTGCTCTCAGAATTCTCCTTCTCCCGACTTTAGCTCTCATTCGCTTTCCTTGAAGACCACAGGGTTAGGGACTATCCCATAGTACA